GTCACGCAATCGCTTTTCCGCGATCAGCTTTCACGATTATTTGCACTATTGTGGGATATTCCTGACCCATTTCTTGATCGAAATCGATCATAATATAATTTAAAGCCTTCATATAGTCTTCTCACTTTGCACGCGAGTTGGTTGGTGAGGTGTCTGTACAGATTTTATCAACGTAATAAAAGTAGCTGAAGATGTAAATGAGATGTCACTAATGAATATTTAACACGCGCAACATGCGAGAAACAATTGACAGCTTTGCACGTGCTTATCATCTTTTTAAGCGGTATGTGTTTATTTTGTCGACAAAAATGCGGACCAAGGCCAAAAATATTTCTTCGACTGGATATATTTTTGACGTTAGTAGATCACATCATATTAACTTACCTCTGTAATCATTCGTCCCAGATAACAAAATCAAATAAACACGCTAACGATGGTATATGAATTCCTCCTTGGCCAAACACAAACGACTCAGATCACTTTCTCCAGGCATCGAAACACATACAAAATCGCCCATAGTTAATTTTAAACAAACATTTATCGAGAGATAGCTCCGAGCAAACCAATCCAGAAAAATGTAATCGGCACACTCAACAAATCATAAATCTTGCGACACAGCTTGCCGTTATAGAACTGTTCAAATCAAAATGTTTGGTGCAATTCATCAACGCCTCAAGTAATATTTGATTCCAATTTTTCCACTTACTCTCGTCGTGAAGAAACAATAACCATGATCATGCTACAGTGCACAGGACTCCATTTTCTCTCCAACAACTATCCACCATTTTCACTGCATGAGTAACACGTGTACTATAGGTAATCTCATATCTTTCATCTGTCCAGTAGTATCGCATTTCTCATAAAGCGCGGTAAAATACACGTTAAAAACACAGAAAAGCCAACATTTCTCATTTTTCAAGATCATTCTATTTTACGGACCGCTCTTTCCGAATCCCCCATTACTTCGGTGAAATTTGAACACTTCTCAAACCAAAGAACAAAAACGACGCTCTGATTGGTGCGAGATACATACACTAATGCGGCGATCTGATTGGTGCGAGCAACATACCACTTTTTTATACGCTAACATAGATGTTATTAAAAAAAAAAATGAATAGTAGCCATGTTGACTGATTTGTATATATAACCGACTGAGCCAAATTGCGCTATTAGTTAACGGCATAAAACCTTACAATATATATATCACCGTCTGAGCCAAATTACGCCGTTAGTTAACGGCCAAACACAAACATACACACACACACAGAAGAAAAAAAAAGACAAGACATTCGAATTCAAATTAGGCTGTAATGAATTTCGGCGCGGTTCGGAACCAATAGAAGCACATATACCACTGTCGTTAGGGTTACGATTAACTACGGTGAGAAAGTTGTTACAAACGCAATGCCCGTGAAAGTTGTCGCATACCCTTTCACTTCTCAAGCTTGACTGAAAATTTGTCGCGCCACCCGCAATGCAACGGATATTGTAGTTGCAATTAATGAATTGGATACCCGTACAAGAGTTCGAGAGAGTTTTTATTCATTAGCGAAATGAAAAAAGAAACAAGGAGTACCTGTGGTGGATAAAGCCTTCTGAGTAGTGATGAAACATAAAGTATTCATACTGTAAGATTTTTTTCCACAACCGTAATTGAGCTCAGTCGCTGTGAGTAAATGTAAGATTTTACGCCGTTAACTAACGGCGTCATTTGGCTCAGTCGGTATAAATACATATTGTAAGATCTTACGCCGGTAACTAACAGCGTAATTTCATTAGGGTCAATATCTTCCGCTCTGTATATTTATATTCTGTAAGAGTTTATGTCGTTAACTTATGGCGCAATTTGGCTTAGTTGGTGATATATACTGTAATATTTTACACCGTTAACTACCGGCGTAATTTCTTCCGTTCTGTATATGTATATACTGTAAGAGTTTACGCTGTTAACTAAAGGCGTAATTTGGCTTAGTGGATGGAACATATACTGTAAGATTTTTAGCCGTTAAATAACGGCGTAATTCGGCTCAGTCGATAAATATACATACTGTAAGATTTTACGCCGTTAACTAACGGCATAATTTCTTTCAGTCGGTATATGTACATACTGAAAGATCTCATGCCGTTTACTACGGCACATTTCAACAATTTAGTTTAAATGGTTTTGTAATTAACCGTTATTTGATGAATTTCAACAAAAGGTTTCTGCGCATTGTAACATTAAAGCCGTTGAAAAGAATGATTTCCCTTCAAATACCTTGATAACTCAGCGTATTTTTCTTGGATGGAAATGCCAATAATTCTTGTTATTAATATAACGAGGCTCAGTTTATAAAAGTATAAAGAGGACCACACTAAAAACGTGCTGACAGATTCCGACTTCTACGTATCCTGATAATAACCGTGGAAGTTCAAATTTTAACACTTCACTTCATAGGGCCGGAACCTCTGTAAGCGTTTCCTTTTTACTTTTTCTGCGCGAAATATAAAGAAGACTGGAGAACAAAGAAAAAATACTAACGACTTTACCCTTTCAACACAGCAGTTGACGCAAGGAAACTTTGAATTAACTATTTAATCAGAAGTTCTTTCACAATAAGAAAAGGTGAAATCAATTGTAATTCTTACCGAGAGTTAGACGTAGAGCAAAATGAATTGAAAATTCACTTCTGGTAACCGCTTCTTCAACTAGTAGTCCAGAAATGGAAATATATCAAATTACACCTTTTACAGTGTACAATGCCTTTTATTCTTATTGAGTAATAATAATTTTTGTGTCAAAGAATAAAACATTTATATCGTGAATGTCATGTTAAAAAAGGAAATTATCTACTCCTACCCCTTGCACCTGTTTTCATGTCGTTTCCATGGCAAGGAGCGTCAACAGTGACTAATCGCTATGAAAAACTCGCTCGCCCTGTTTCATATAACATCTTCGAAATTAAGCTTACTCCACGCCTTAGGAATCCACATACCTTTAATTATCATAAACTAAAGTCAGGGTTTCCTCTTTACATTTTATTTCAGAACTAACTTCCTCTTGCCAATTGATCTTGTCCATCACAAAGCCCCTCGATATTTTCTGTATCTAAACTGCGGATAAGAACACGAGCTTCACAAACATAACCCAACTAATATTTTCCGGCGATTACGCCCATGAAAATGAAACTTCAAAATCTTAAGGAGGGGAATTTTTAGTCTTGTCAACACTGTAGGGCACATTGGAATAATTGTATGCTAATATGAGGAATCAAACCTCGAATCTTCGCATGCTCTATCGATGAGCCACGGAGATTCTGTGGTTAGCAAGGCTGTAACAAGGTTCGTTTTTAAACGGGCATGCCGCATTCATGCCTCTATGGGACAAGAAAGATGTCTGGGTCAATAACTCATAAGCATTCACATTTTTTTGTGTGTCCCAAGCTCACGACGAGACGGAAAGCATCATCCCTTGTGTTATAATCAGCGAACTAAAAAATCATATCTAATTCGTTAACTCACATGGGGCTTCCGATATTGCTGATCCAAGCAAGGACATGCGTCTCATGTCAGCTACTCATTTGTAATTACGTTAGGTCAGAGAAAAATCGGCGGCCAAGGAATAATCATTATCCACCTTGGGCTTCGTAGACAAAAGATATTCGTACGCTTTTGCTTCACAACAGAAGATTTAGCCCTTCTTTGAATAAAACCTTATTCTTGAATTATCCTTTGAGTATTCTTGTCTTGCTTTGTTATCGATCGATAGATTTCGGGCAGCTGGCAAATTTTGGGCTACCCAGAAAAATAAGCATAGTAACTTAGAAATTCGATCAACAGCCGTGTTGGAGTTGACCCTAAAAAATTCGGCAGTTTAGCTCGTCATTTCTGAATAGCATTTGATTCGCATGTATTCTTTTCTTTTCTTTGTGGAAATTATGTTTCCCTTTTTTTTTTTCACTTTTATTTTGGTTTTCTTTCTTTTCTTTTCTTTTTTCTTGTTTTTTGAAAACAGAACATCGAAAAATGTTAACTGCCCGTGGCGTTTGTTTTCTTCTTTCCAAGACATTCAAATTTATTCAATGGTTCGTGAACAAATACTACATAAGTCGTCCATTCGAATTCGAATCTTGCACATAAAGGCTTCATTTCATAGATAAGACAAACGAGGAAAATATTACGATCCCTCTTTTCAAACCTGGCTAAACCTACTCAGTACCATTGGCGGAAGTATCAATTCTCCATCAGGCTTCATTGAATACGCAAAATAAGTGGGCCAACATATCTTGTGTTTAACTACATCTGTCAACTTTGAAATTCTCGCCCACTAAGGTTCAGTCTTGAAAACAGCTGGCATTCTTAACTCATTTTTAATTTGGGCCGTGACTTCTTTTTACTTCCTTGAATAGCATGTTGAGTTTTACTTAGTTTGAAGTTCACACCCCCTATTTGTTTGTTTGTTTTTTTTTTAACTTAAGTCAACTTCAAAGAGTGTCCACCGCACTGTAGAAAATATGGGAAAGACATCATCAATCTTCCACTGACTAACACTAAATAATTTCATCTTAATTGTTGTATATTCTGGCAACATTACACTGAGGACCAATAATATCACTGTGGATCCAAAATAAAACCTGGACATAATTTTTTTTTTCTTTTTTTGCCTTGGTCAAATGAAAATTTTTAAACAAAAAAAAAAGGAGAAAAAGAGTTAATTACCTATATTTTTTTTTTTTTGCCTTGGTCAAATGAAAATTTTTGAACAAAAAAAAAGGAGAAAAAGAGTTAGTTACCTATATTACGAGGTGAAATAAGGGCCTTTATTAACATATGTTCTCCTTTCGGAGCAAATTCATACTGAAGAGTAAATCCACCGTTTGAACCTACAGATATTAAATTAAACAACTGTAAAAAGGAACGCGAAGCATCAAGCTTTATGCTCATAAAATTTGTATTCAGTAACATGAAGCATCAAACGTGTATGTTCATATTTTCTTGAGCATAGTTAAAAGGAAGTCTAAATATTGAGCAATAGTTTCTTCAAAAACGAAATTTAAGGCGTGGGATGTTTTTCGTTCCTTCTACTAAGCTTCCGCATGGCCATAAAAGAGATCCTTGAACTTCTGTTTAAGCAGCTATCTAAAATTAAAGTGTTGAGTGCATTGTACTAAAATAGCTGTTTAGCACTGACAAGTATTCTCTTCCTTAAAATGGGTTAACATCAGGGAGTATAAATTCAGTTGGCTGCAGCAGTTCTGCCATCATAACTTAGCACTCATTACTTTCAGAAGTTTAAGTCTAAGGTGGATTCAACATTCGAACAATGCCACGTTCTCTCCAGATTCTTTTGCTCCTGGCTTTGGCTTCTAGGAATCAGATATTGAGTCGTCCAATCACATCATTTGCGGGTGAGTACTTCGTTATTTCTCTTTCCTTGCATAAAAGTTATATTTCCCACAGAGCAGTACCTACATGGAACTACTTTTCTCTATAAAACTTTCCATGAGACTTGGCTTTGACTGTATCCGTTAATTTTTTTGACTTATCACATGTTTTTTTACAGCTAATTGTGCTGAGCTTTACAAGGCTGGAAATAAAACTAGCGGTGTCTACACGATTTATCCTGATGGTTTAAGTGCCTTTGATGTGTACTGTGACCAGAGCACAGGTGGAGGAGGGTGGACAGTCATCCAGAAGAGAATGGACGGCTCTGTAAATTTTGCTCGTAGCTGGTGTGACTACAAGCATGGCTTCGGTAACTTGAGTGGCGAGTTTTGGTTAGGACTAGACAAAATAAACCGCCTCACTTGGAGAACAAAGAACAAGCTTAGAATAGATTTGGAATTTAACCTCACCCTGGGCATTCGACGAATTTTCGAAGAGTACAACTTGTTAGTAGTTGAACCGGAATTACAAGATTATGCCTTAACTATTGGAAGTGTTTTAACAGGTATTCACATCTGTTGGGTGATGATTAATATCATTCATACAAAGTCTGAAAAAATGAATCAATTTATCAACTGGATATTTACGCTTAGAAAATTAGCTTTATACTGAAAGCGATGGCAGTCGAATTGCAATGAAATCTGAATAATTTCGCAGTGTTTCGAAGCAGTTTTGCTTACGTTGTACGCGAACCATATCAATTTGGCTCATTAAATTGACTGAACAACAAATAAAGTCGTTATTTTGTCTTCAAAAATGAACTGTGATACGAGCCTCTCTTCAGCTGACAGAAATTGAGCGTTTAATACATGCCGTTATTATTCTGTTGATTTTTTACATAATTTTTTTCTTTTCTTCTCGCTCTGCAGGAAACGCAAGTGATTCTTTCGATTACAACCGCAACGCTTCGTTTTTTACAATGGAAAAAGACACGCCGGACGGTTGTGCTAAGAAATATGGAGCTTGGTGGTATCCCAATAACGAAACTTGTGGTAACTCCAACCTTAACGGTCAATACAAACAAATAGACGGTTTAAGATGGGCACGCTGGAGTCAATATAGGCCTCGTGAGCTCCAGTATACAGCCACCAAAGCCGAAATGAAGATCAAGCCGGATTGCTTTGGATAATTTTTTTTTCTCTTTATGTGTATATGTGTATTCATATATGTCTGTAAATAAAATTTGAGAATCAAATTTATCTGCCATATGAGAGGAGATTTTTTTGTAACTCGTTAGAAGCGTGAGGTGTAATGATTGAGTTAGTATATGTAATGGCAACAGGACTGAGAGGAGTCCAAGAATAGCCAGGTTATCAAAGAAAGGGAAAATTTGCATGAAAAGACTAAGTCTGTACACTGTTTCAATGGTAATTGAAACAAAGGCTGGGATTGGTTGATTTAAACTAAAACTTTGAATATGATTGGCTCATCCAAGTGAACTGTCCGATAAAAACCTAGCGAATGAATAAGGGGGTATATATAAGTTTTTCGAAACCAATCAAAATCGAGGAAATTGTAATTGTTTGATTAGTACTGATTCAGTGGATAACATTGAAAGCACGCCTTGATTGACTGCTCGAACTACAAATATCTTTTGCCCCCCACCTCCGAGAAACTCGCGCGGGATTCGCAGCTCGATAAATATCCACCACTAGCCACCGACGGAGGTGAATAGCTTTTTATTTATGAAATAAGTAAGCGAGAGGCAAAACGGGAAAATATTTCAGACCAAGGGAATGCAGCGAGATCGGGGGGTAATGATCGTCCGTGATGAGCGTAATGACTGTAAATCCGAATATCGATTAGCGTAAACTGAAAGGTCACCCCTAGTTTCCTCCTCTCACAATAAGCTAGGAAGAAACAGGTGTCCATTTAATACCTTTTGAATATTGTTGCTACTTATCCTCATTAAATGCTAACAATTACCGCACTCGATTAGAATCGTAATCGTCAAAGAATGACACATGTAGAATTAATAACATGTATTCTTAATTCCATTTTTTCACACCTGTTTTCCTGGTGTTGCATATAAAGGCGTCAGTGGTGTTTAGTCGCTCAAAATTCCGTTCTTCCTGTCTCTTACAACATCCGCACGGCTAAACTCAAAGCCCACTGAACGCCCACATGTATTCTTATTTTTAGTTTGCATGAACAAAGTAGCCGAACTCACGAAACTAACCGAAATGTAACCAAGCCTACATTTCTGTCATTTATTTCCTACCCCTACTGTCACCCTGCTGAATTAAAAGAGAAACGAAAAAATGCTGTATTCGTTCAAAATATCGTAATGCTCTTGCCAGTGAATATGCAAGCAAAGTAGATCTTATTAAGGAATAGCAATATCCAAAAAAAAAAAAAAATTGGAGGGAGCCTTACAATATTCTGAGATGTAGAGAATAATACATGGGCGCGCGTAGATATGGAATTGCTCTTCGACTTGAACACGAGAAGAGAAACTGCATATCTACAAGCAACCAGGCATTATTTTGTTTATCATCTAAACACAATAGCCCTTTAGTGACAAGAAAAGCGGGCTTCATGAATGAATGAAAATAAAAGAATAGACAATCCTCGAATAACAATCGTAGAGTGCGTTGGCGGGCGCTGACTCTTAAGATGGAAAAATGCGTGGAATCATGATTACAAAAACAGCTATGGTCGTAATTTTCAATTTACAAAATTCTCCTTTACTGACTTTGTCCTTGCCGACAGAAGAAGTCTTCCAGGTAAACGGCAAAAATCGGCCAGTGGCAAATCTTCCAGTTGTCGATTTTCATTCTCAGCCGAGATAAATACTGACACCAAAGCCACTAAATACGTAACTTTCGGTTTTTCTTTTAGTATATTGGTTTTCTTCCCCTTCAAGGAAAGTTTGAACCTTACTGTCTGTCAGCAATAGGGAATTTTCAGTGTTTTAGCCGCCATAATTCGAGGATTCTCAAGACAAACAACTTGTATTGAGAATCGTGAAGGCTTTGCCGTTCATTTATCAACCTGACCGAGCGGACGCCAAAGGCGATTGACTTGTCAGCAGTCGATTAGCTATATCAACAGACGTGAAAAAATACGATATTTTTTCGCGTGTGTTGTTACGGCTTTTCTCAGGGCCGAAAATCCCTGTATAACACCGCGGTTAATGAGATAAAATTAGGTTATTAAAAAGTGAGGACAAATAAAATTTTCCTGTCAATCTCATTTGATTCAGTCTCGTCCATGTTTCTGAGGGAAGCTGAAGCGCTCCTTTTTATTGGGAGGGAAATTATTATGGGTAATCCTGAACGAGCGAACAAGTTCAATGTTGCAGTGGACTGGCTGCGCTACGATGTTTTTTAATTTTGTCGCAATATTTTTACTATTGCAGCGGGCTCGCTATTGGCGTTACCTTGTCACTTTTTTTGCCCAGTAACTGTGAAAATTATTGGATGCCATCGTGTATTGTAGATCTGAGCTTACAAAGGTTTTAATAGACCACATGAAATGCCACCCAAGGAGACGTATAAACACAAATCATTTTAAAGTTTAATTAGTGCACACCTCTTAGTGACAAGGTTTCTTTTCTTTTTCGAAAACTATAGTCTAGCCTTATGAAGAGGTGGATTGGCGGGGCCAAAGTGCAATACATGAATACGCACCCTCGGAGGGTGAGAAAGAGTGTGATGCGCGAAACAAAGAAAATCCCTCTTTAGTCACATCATTGTTTATGCTCTTCCTACCGTTTGCTTGGCGAACGGTCTTCGGAATTAGTTGCTTTAGGTCAATTATAGGTCATGTCAATTATTTCAACGGTAGCGTGACTACAGGCGATTTATGGTCAATCGCAAGATCCCCTCATTATTCGCAATGATAGCATGAAGCCAGATCTTCACAAACTCGTTTTGTCCATCTTTAGATTAGCTCTCCGGAACACAACTGATTTTAAAGTAGACTGAGTACCTAGATCCCTTAACGAGCACGCGGTTGTCATTAGCAGGTTCATTGATTGCGATGACTGGGGGGTTTCCTTACATTTTTTTCACTCGGGTGGATGGTATCTGGGGTCCCCATTCTGTTGATCGGTTTGCAAATTCCCACAACTTTAAACTAAGCACTAGGTTCTATTCGCGCTATTGGAATCTGGTTGCGAAGGAGTCGATGCCTTTTGCTTTTGCTGGGTTGGGTAAACTAATTGGCCAGTACTAGCTGTGTCCATAATTGATTTCTCGGGTTGTTAGGCATTTTGCAAATGGTAAAGCTGCGGGTACTCTTATCGTACCCGAATGGGTTTCGTCCCCGTTCTGGCCCATGCTCTACGGGTCCGAGCCTCCTTACCATTCCCTTACCGAGGGCGTTATTACTTTCACTGACGTTACCGGAATTTTTATAAGGGACTCCTCCGAGTCCATTTATGACGGAGCTAAGTTTAATTTTAGTATGCTAGCAGTTCGTTTATTCGCTTGATAGTTTTATGATAATCTCCCTGATTTGTTTTATTATTTTTTGCATTCCCCATCAGGGATTTTTCTTTCTTCCTTTTTTTT